ACCCCTCGTGTGTGTGTGTGTGGGGGGGAATCCAGGGCTCCCCTCTCTGAGCCCCAAACCAGGAGACCGACCTTCCCGGGGCCACGCTGACCCCTTGGGCTAGTCCTTGCAGGGGCCGGGCTCGGGCTCGGGCTGCAGAGTGTCAGCCAATCTCACCCCCTCGTCCCACCACCCAGGCACCACACATTGATTTTAACCCTTTCTCTTCCCCTCTGCCAGCATCACAGCTTCTACGACTTCATCGTGACTAAAGCAAGAGGGAAAAGTGGTGAGTGACACCCCCCCCCACACCATGGCCCCCAATCTCACTGGGGGGGAGGGGGGGGGCTCTAGTCACATTTGGCCCCATGACAGAGAGGGGAGGTGATCCCTGACTGTCATGTTCCACCACCATGGAGGAAGGGACATGCTGGGGCTGGTCAGAAGACAACTAACCTCCCCCAATTCCCCAGGGCCGCTCTTCAACTTCGACGTTCATGAGGACGTGAGACTCCTGAGCGATGCCACTGTGGAGAAGGATGAGGTGAGCGTGGGGCCCCCCCATGTCCCCTAGAGGGAAGAGGCCGTGGGGGAGGGCCAGCCCCACTGAGCTCTTTCTCTTCCCCCCAGTCCCATGCTGGGAAGGTCGTCCTGCGCAGCTGGTACGAGAAGAACAAGCACATCTTCCCGGCCAGCCGCTGGGAGCCCTATGACCCTGAGAAGAAGTGGGACAAGTACACTGTGAGTTTGAGGGGGGTGGGGTGTCTCTCTACCAGGGGAATTGCTGAGTACGGGGAGGGGGAGACATCAGTGCTGCCTGCCCGCCTGCCGTGCCCCCCCCAATAATTCTCTCTGTCTTTCCCAGATCCGGTGAGAGATGTAGCCCTGGAATGCTGCTGTGGAGCTCCTGGCGTTGTTGCTGCCCAATGGTCGTCATATCTCCTTCCCCCCCCCCAATCTCTCAGCCTGCTGGTGAAATAAACTCTCCTGTGCTCACCCTGTCTGTGTTTGTCTTATGTTGGGGAAAATGAGACACCCCCCCACCACACACACCCCGCTTGGGAAATCTGCAGGCTTAACCGAAACCAGCTAGATACAAACCTACTACTTAAAAAGAAGTAACAGGAGGAC